TCTATAGCAGACCCCCACCATGACATCACCCTTCTTGCTCTTCCCTCTGACCCTAACCCAAACACTCTCAACAGGCCTATCTCCAGTTTCATACTGTAGCTTTAAACAATCAAACGGCTCTTTTACATAAAGTGCAACTCCTGTTCTTCTCACCCGCCTGTCCTTCCTGAACAGTTTGTACTCATCCATGACGGTGCTCCAGTCATGTGAGCTCCCACCAAGTCTCTGTTATTCCAATCACGTCAGGGCGCCATGACTGTGCAAGGACTTCCAATTCTTCCTGCTTGTTTCCCAGGGTCTATGCATTTGTGTACATTTCTAAAATACATTTAGGAAGTCTTTTAAGGTTTATCAGCTTTCATTTTTATTTGCTGCAAGCTGTGAATATTAAATAAAGCTGCATTTATGAGGTGAAGGCAATATACAGAATAAAGAATCTGATTGGATACGTTAATCTACCTGGTAATTTAAAGACATTCAAGCTTATTTACCCACCATTGTATAACCTAGTTATACATACATACATATCACTTTTATAGTGTAGCTAGATTAAATGATAACCTGCAGAGACTGAAAGGCTCAACTTTTTTAAATTTATGGCACTGGCAATGGTGTTGCTTCATTGCTTAGGAAAACCAAAGGCAATTTGCATAGAATAAAACTATCTACTAGACTATAGAGACTAGAGAATAGTAATTTCTTTGGAGAGAAGCATAAAGTGATATTTAGAAAATCAATTCTGAAGAAACCAGCCTGACATTTATCTTCAAATAACAAAAAAAAAGGTATGGAAAAGACTTGTTTGGGCATCTAGTCTAATGTAATATTAGATAGTCCCTCACAGCACATACTCTCCAGTGTTTTGTCAATGTACATTTTAAATGTATCAAGGAGAGAGGCTTTGCTATTATACTTTTAGAAAAATGACAAATCCTTGCTGAGTGCACAGGAACTTTTCAAAATGTATTCGAGTTACCAAAAATAGTGAAAATTCACAAGCCTTTTTCTTTCCAGTTAAATTCAAGGGTTATGTATTTTCTAGATAAAAGGAGTTTTAGACATACAACACCTAAAAGCTAAGTAGGTACTATTATACTTTTCCTCTCCTTTCCTTAATCCATCTGTTGGTATTTGTTTTTCCTCTTTGCTCTTTTTTCATAGTGCCTCATAAGTAGAATGCAAAGCCAATAGAGCTTAAGTTTGAGTGGGTTTAAAATTAGGCAAAATGAACCTGGCAAAATGAGTGTGCATAGCCCTGTTGTTTATAGAATGTGTGCATGTAACCCACATAGGATTTTGAAGATATGCTACCTCATTCTGATTAGAGGAAGAGCCATATGGCTGTCTTATATGACTGGCTGGTTTAGAGTGGTTCAGAACAAAATGTTTGTGATCTTTAAGCAGGCTCAGGTTAGTCATCTAGATAGACAAAAAGTAGCAGTGAAGATGCATATGGCTGCAGAATTACAATGCTTCCCACTTACTGTCCTTTTAGGAAATGCATAAGGAAGATTCCAATGGATCAAAAAAAACCCTTTTTTTCATAAAAGAAAAATATATATAACCATTCCTGGATACATTAAGAAGTTGTCATTATCATTCAAGAGAAAAAATTAGGTAAGGCTGTGGTTACTTTCGTTTATATTTGTAGAGTGTTTAGCACCTTAGATTAAAATTACCTACAGAAGTGCCATTTATCATTTTATTTACATGTATGAATTTATATTTGTAAAATATATTTTATTATGATTAACCTTCTTAGGTCCTGTATTATTATCCTCATCCACTAGTTGCCCTGAAAATGCTTCTTTTTCAGCCTGCACTGGAAAGGTGCACGCCACCTGGAGCCAAGAACATCACAGATATTTAGGTCAGAAAACACCTAGAGAATGACCAAGGAGTGGCTTATTATCAGCTCTTGAATTAGCCACCTGAAATGTAGGAGTGATTTGATTAACCACTGCATACATGCCCCTAGTGTAGAATAGGGAGACATCTGAGCATCTCTAGAGAGAGAGCCTTTTCTTCTTACATGCCCAGAGGAATTAATTGAATCACTTTTACACAGTAGTCAGGTAAGTCAGTTGCAGGCTGCAGTTTGCTCATTCACTAGGTTAAACAGAATTCTGCCTTTGGTTTCATTTTAATTTCTACCTTGACTGATTTGATTCTATCCAAGATCTAGCATTCTGCTGTAGTCCAATAAGACCACCTAAGGGCTAAATCTAGTCCTTACGAGGTCTTCATTTCCTTTCTTGTTCATCTAACTTTCATGAATACCAATGACAGGTACACGTTCACAGGCAGAGAAGAGTGCATTTGAGGGAATATATTATGCATGGTACTTGCATCTATTGATTTTCCAAATGATACTAATCCTTTACCTGGATTAGCATTTATGCATTCATCCTTTGTGTGATACAAACTTTGTAAAAGAAATCAAGTGTCTCTTTTACTGTGCAGACTCTTCATTGTAAAATTTTATATACAATATGAAATTTCCACTTGTACCTTTTGGGTTGATAAGAGTTAATAAAAAAAGATTTTTACCCTGTGCTTTGAAAACACTTAGGCTGCATCCAGATGAGCACAGATGTACAGTAGGTGGTGCCGCAGACACGTTTGCAGCACCACACATGACCCATGCAGGTGTTCCCTGCACTGCTACCTTGGGAGAGGGGGGGCAGTTTTAACTCTGGGAGATCTTGGGGGTCAAAAAAAACCCATGCCAAAAAAAATCAGGACAGCACACATGGTAGCAGTGCACGCCACCCAAAAACGGAGCCTGGCTGGCTACAGCAATGCTACAGCTGACAGCCAGGCTTCCTGCCATGGTTGGAGCCCTGGGAGGCTTGCACGATCACAAGTAAGGCTGCTGGGGCCAGCACAGTTGCTGGCTCCAGCCTCCCCTACCCCACCTAAGGTTAACTTGCCACACATGAGAGCATGCATGGCATGGGTGCTCTCTGGGGACAAGTAGCAGTGGCACAAGGTGAAAGTAACTTTTAAAAACAGTTTTAAAACTTGAAGCTCTACAAGTTGGAGCAATAGCCACTACAAACTTTTAAGAAGCATTCTTAAAACTGTGCTCATAAGAGGACGTTACTGAACAGGGTATTTTATTATTGAATGAACATTCATGAAGGCTTCCTGTACACATAGCTTTATTCATGGAAATGGCTTCATACACACCTAAAAACAGAATGCCAAACCTTCAGTGTCATTTTTGAAACATAGATCACCAAATCTGGTCACCTAGGCATCTAGAAAAGAATAGAATGCAACTTGTTTAGTAGTCATGGCAGCAAAACAAGCTCCCAGTGTACAGCTGTGAGGGAAAATGCACTATTTGAATGTGTATGAAGGGGAATATCAAGTAGCAATAGTAAGTGATATTGCATATAGAACATTAGTGAAACCATTACTAGAAAATCTTGCCTAGTTCTGGTGTCCTGACTTCAGAATGGACATTAAAAAAATGAGAATTGGTGCATAAAATAGCAACAATGACTCTTCGAATTCTGAAAAACAAGTCTTCTAGAGCATGTGCATGCATTTGTGGGCCCTGACCTACGATCACACAGCTTATTTTAAACCACATAATTGTAGATTGTGTTGCCATTTGTAACCAAGTTTGCCAGTACTGGGAGATGTGTCAAGAATGCAATGCATGTAAATTGGGGTTGGGAGAAGGGTGGGTGGGATTGTGAGGGGCTAGCTGTTCTGCAGGAGAGAATTGATGGGTCCAGAGGAGTTTGGCAAGATGGGTGTGGGACTGACAGATCCACAGAGAGTGGGAATGGTAGGTCTGCAGGAAAGGGAGAGTTGTCCATCCAGAATTACAGGTATCCAAGGGTTAAAAATAGCCCAAGTCAGGGTGGTGGGAGGTGGGTAGGAAAAGTGTAGCCCTGGGGTGGGGCAAGTGGCCAGGCTTTCCCAGCCTCGGGTTTGTGCTCCAAACACATATACACATTCAGTTAGATCAGGTATAGGTTAGCCCAGTTTACATGTTGCACTTCCTTAGATAAACTAAGTTAGATCAGGCTAGACTTTTTTTTTTTTTTTGCCTAATCTAAACTCCCTAAATGTATGGACAGTTTGGCATTTAGATTGACCTAACCCTAGTTAGGCTGATCAAAGTGTAACATCTGCACATGCCCCTTGTTAAAGACCAAGAAAGCTCAATTTATTTAATTTAGCCAATAAAAGTTGAAAGGTGACTTGTACCTACAAGCAGAGGGGTTTCTAATAGTAGCCAGCTCTCCAATCTGGAACAAATGGATGGAAGCTTATGTAGACAAATTCAAATGAAAAATAAGGCACAATTAAAGTTATTAACCAAATGGGATGAAGTCTCCATAACTTGCAGGCTTTCTGTCAAGACTGAGGGTATTTCAACAGATATGATGCAAACTATACAGAAATTGCATGCTTAATGCAGAAATTATTGAGTGAAGTTTCTTAGTTCAGACTATGTAAAAACTCAGACTACATAATTTAAGAATCTGTTAATCTGTGTACTTGAGTGAGTTTGGCAGAATCTGGCCCTCAACCTTTATACATTAGAAACTTAGTTACAGAAGAATTTGGCAGTTATACTTTAGAGGTTTTATTCCTCCAGTGGTGAAACTTTTCTAAAGACCTTGGAAACATTTAGCTTTCAGATTACATTAGCTAAGTTTTTGAGTAAATATAAGTTCTGAAAACTAGAAATATGAGAATTGAACATGTTCCTGTTAAATATGTACCACTTTATCATTAGTGCATCCAACTCTAACACAAAATGCTAAAGAATCAAAATATTAATGTGTAGCTGAAAATATGTAGAGACAGCTTGTGTTGTATTACTTTGATCATTCTTGCAGTTCTGTATCATGATGGTATCTTATTCCATTCTGTTTTTACAGGTTAGTGTAATCAAGAAAAAAATGTAATGACCAGCATATCAAAACACAACCTTGGGAAATGGTCAAAATTGGATATGTTACATCCTTATTATACCCAAAAGAGATGAGTGCAATATCCTGGCTGCATTTTTTCCATGAAAAAGTTTGAAAATAGGAACTGAAAATTGCAAAATTATGTTTCTGTCTCATGGACAAGGATTGTAACAAAATTATGAAATTATTATTATACCAAATAAATCTTTTTCTGTAGTAATCTTCAGGCTATGGGTCCTACCTGGAAGTCATAAACCTAGAGTACAGAACATATGCTCATATTGTGCATTTTAGCAGCATTTGTATCCATGTGAAATAGAAGTCTTTTACAATACAACACTTGCCTATTCTTCTCACATAGTTATCACTGATATTTTCTTCTTTAAGTAGTGAGTAAAAGGGTAATCTTAGATATCAGAGGGCACATCTACAAGTACACATTTACTGTGTAGTAACCAAAACTACTGTGCAGTATAGGCATGGGTCTACATGTGCACAACAGTACTGCCCAGTAAACATGGTGACTTATGCCGATTTGAGCATAAATTTGATACCTGCATCATGTAGGTAAGCCCAAGTCAGTCCACTTACAGCTTTAATGCGCTTTAATGCCTCCATGTTGTTACCAGATTTGCCCGCTACTTTGGGGTGTGCTCATTTATTAGGGCTAGGGTCTAGGTAATTCTATCAATGTGCTGCTTGTGTTACTTGTGTTTCTATACGGAGCTGTATCTCTCCCCCTGCAAGCCCTCACCCCCAATGGAGCTATCTTGCAGGACTCAGTTCAGTGGGGTTGGGTTCCTCCAGTCCCCAGATCAGTCATACACACACACACACACAGACACACACACACTTTCTCTCTCTCTCTCTCTCTCTCTAACAATGGCAGCAGGAGAAAGAGACTCAGTGGAAGGGTTGGAGTCTGGGTAGGGAAGAGAAGCAGAGTCCAAGTCCTTGGCTGAAGAGGGGG